TTATGAGGCTCTTTTACAGTCAAGCTTGAATCAGATGGCGCCAGGGCACGTCGCGGCTGTCATGGCCGTCTCACTCACACAACATTACTTTTCAGTATTGTATGTACATAGGAAAGTAAAGTGTAGTGGTAAAGCGCAATATTTGAAATTTTGAAATGAATAAGGAAGACAAGAAAGAATATCAGTGGTCGAGGCATAAGCCATGACTTGGGAGCGGCAAAAATGTTGGTCTCCCAATGGCTTCGAGCCACTTTTTTTTTATCACATTATCAGAAGGAAATTTAAATTTCACTTTCTTATCGCAGGATATTACACTGCACTTCATTTTTCCTACTATCTTTAAACGTAAATGCAAACAAAAATTGTCTGCAAACAACAGCAATCATTTACAAAGGTGATGTCTTCTGCTTTGCTCATTACACAGATAGGCTCACGAACACAATACACAACTGTAAATTTGACGGTGTGTAAGTGCGACGGCCATAACAGCCGCGACGTGCCCTGGCGCCATCTGATTCAAGCTTGACGGTAAAAGAGCCTCATAGGCTTTGGCGCTTTGGTGCCTGATGGAAAAAGAGGTATAGGTCTGTTCAGTCTGTTCACTCACTTTGAGTTTAGTGGAACAGTGGAAACCCCTATTTAATATGAACGTTCACAATGAAATAAGCAAAAAATGTCTATGTGAATAGCTCCGAAGTATTTAAAAATACTAAGACTCATATAGTAGAATATTCAATTGATAACATGTGAATAAATTTTGAGGAAATTACATAATTTAACGAGTTTCGTTTATTTTTTACTGAAAATGATAAAAAATTTTATTAGCGTAAAAGTCATGCTCTCCTTTTCGTCTTACTCTTACCGCCACACCAGTGTAGAATATGGCAAAGCCAATCATCGTACCGGACACGGTGTAAAATATACAGGTGGTCCTAAATATATATATATGTGTATATATATATACCTACACCCGATGTCTGATTTGGATATATACATGTGCACCGCCAAAGTCACCGTACTGCGGCTCGTGATTCCTCCCCGTGACAAATATAATTTCCCATAGGTGCTCTTCCGCGCTATTATTCCCCGAGTTCCGGCGATTGTCCCGCCATCGGTATCTCGTGCGAGTGTGTGTGCGACGAGGAATTTTATCCTATTTTGCCGATCGACGACAGGTGGATACTTTGTTTTTTATCAATTTATTATGTAAGAAAAAAACAAAACAAAAAAAACTAAACAATACCTCAATTTGTCGATTGGGCAAGAGAAGCTGGGTAGCAGTGAAAAAAAAGAGAACTTTTGCATTAAAGTCATAAATTCGCATGATGTATCGCAATCGGACACTCTCCTGCACCGAGCGTATACCACATGCATTACATGTATACACTATACACTTTATTCTTTATTATATGCTTAATTCTGTCTTGGCTAATCGGCTCTTTTTTTTCACCCGTTTCTCACTTCAAATGCAAGTGTATAAATATATACGTGTAGGGCCTGTCGTGTTGCTATTGAGGACGCGCGTGCGTCGAGAAACTTTTACGCTATCTTGTGCCGTGGTAAAATCCTTCTTTTTTTTTTTTCACACAGCGTGCGGGTTAATGAGCTAGCGTATCGATGGGGAAATATTTAAAGGCACCACCGGAAATACTTAATTCGCGTGTTCCGTGATTTCGCAATGTCCCGACGGTGCAAGTGTAACGGAGATCATAGTCGAAACAACACTGTTTACCCGTAGAATCGTGATTCTCGTCCGATACAAGTGCACGGATTTTTCTACTACAGATCGTGCATATGGGCTTTCGAACGACTCGTCTTATTACTTAAGTTGTGGGTGCAAGTTACCCTCGCACATTCTATCGTGACTCTAAAAGTCTAGAAAATCATTTCTTTTTTTTTGTTTCTTAATTAATCTAAAAGAGCAACTTTTTGTTTCTATAATTTGAGATATGGAATTAAATCAAGTCCTTCAGTTACAACTGGTTAAAAACTCACTGTTCGTAATTAACTTTTGAAGAACAGTAGAATAATCGTGAGATTGTCTTCTATATGTAGTATTCCAATACATACGTTGATTTTATATTACAGTCAATCTTTTGTACTTATATACTTGCGTCTACCGTTTGCCTACGTGAAAAATTAAAAAAAAAAATTATTCTTTTCGAGCCAATGCACGCGAAGGCTGAATTGGCTTTATTTTTATTTTCAAAACCAAAAGGTATTACATAAACATTTAGGCTAGTGGTAAAATTTTTAATTTTTATATTAATCTAAACGAAAGATGATTAGTGAAATTGTTGTATAAAAAAAATTATTTTATTATTTGTTGAATTTGCGTTACCACGATAAGTTCATACAATTCATGTTTCGTGAATTATTTTGAAAAAACAAAATTATAATTCATTCTTTAATAATCTAATTTATAATTAGATGGTTGTT